TACCATATCAGAATTAATCAAACAACCTGCTTCTCCCTGAATATTGAAATTTGAAAGAAATATTTTGCTTTTCACAAGCCTGGAGATATATTACAAATAAAGATGTAATCTGCTTTGAAAATCACACCATATTGGGAATTTAATTAAGCCTACACCTTATCAACAGCAATAACCCACCGTCACTGGAGGCAACCAAGCCACGCGCCTCTATAGAATGCGGTACCTTTTATCTATAATTTATTGCTCGGACATTACCTTCCAGTATCAATCATGCTTTTTAGACGGTCTTCGGTGCTAATACAACGTTGCAATTCGGTATGTTTGGAGGCCAGAAGATGCAAGCACAGCCGACGTCAACTACGAGCCGTGATGAAAGAAAGGCAACACCGCGCTCGGACGGCATGGTAGTGCTACCTGTGAACGTCGGCCGCCAGCGGCTGTGTGCTCCGTCTCCGTGTAACGTTCAAGAACTAAATTTAATTTTGGAAAAGAGGACAGTTCGATTCGATACAAGTCATCTGAATATGAAATAGCTCTAAAAAATTTAAAAATACGAAATAATCGTGATATATATGAGTCGCTAATGCAGTTAACCTAATTAAAAGTATTTAGTTGGAATTGACAGTCCTCCTCTTTGCAAATGATCAAAATAAACATTTGTTGTTAATGAACCTTTTTCTTTAACTATTAGCGATTTGCATATCTCGCAGTTTAGGTTTTTAGAGATAGCGTGTGAAGCATATCCAGATATATAAGTCTTAGTACTATCCTCTATGTCACAATTGGCTAAGTAATTTGTCTCAAATACTTCATTGAATATATCCAAAACTTCAGGATTTTGTTTGGTATCCAAGAAATCAAAATTTTCTTGAGTTTCTAAGCAGTTTTGGAACCTTGTTTTAATTTCTGCTAAAGAAAATGACGATTTCTTTTCATTGAAAATATGCTTCAGCCGTATTTTCTTTTCAGCATTTAAAATTTCATCATATGACATTGTAATTGCAGCCACATAAAAGTCTATAATTGCCAAATCGTTTTTCTAAATTATCAGTGGTGAATTTTCCAGGCAATACATACTCAATGTCAAATTGATTAAATGAATATTCAATTATATTAAGTAGAGTCAGCGTGCTTTGATATAGAGCTGTATACGTTTCTGGTGTCAGGTGTCCATTATTATTCTCTAGATTATGCCATTTTTCTAACCATATCAGGAATTTTTTTAAAAATTGTACTCTATAATCATATTTATTGGTATTACTGACAATATCCCACCAATTCCTGTTTATTTCCAAAAAGTGTGCAGCATCATTAAACTTTAATTCTTTCATAGCAGCTATTGTTGAGTGATGGAATAAATTATCTATAAAATTTACATTTTGCCTTTCAAATGAATTTGGATGCAATGTTTTATAATTTAATTTATATGCTTTCTTAACTACAGCTTCTTTTTTCAATTGATATACAGCCAGTGGCGGTTCCACTGTAGGAGCACATGAGCACGTGCACCCCCAAAATAATTAATAATAAATATGTATAATATCTATTTAATAATTTCTCAAATAAAGTCTGAGCCTCCCTGATATTTAATCGTATAAAATCAAAGATCTAGTAGCTCTCCACTCATGAGTCACCACTCTTACCGCTGCGCTGCCTGATTCGGGCGATTCCGACTTGTGATTCGGTCTGGCCCGGTCCGACTGCCGCCGACGGGTGACGGCGGATGACGACGAATAGGCGCATATGCGATCATGTACGCGGGATTTGTGTGTTTCTCACCATGCTGTTCTGGTTGCGGAGTATAGCGGGGTTATGGCAATTTTAGTTGGAGAAGGCGCACACTTCTGGAGTGCGCCATTGTCCGTTGCGCGTGCATTTTATGCAGTAATCGGAGGTGTGTTCGAAGTTTTATGTTCGTAGCAGTGTTTTAATAAAATATTGAGTTAAAATGAATGGTTTCACTGTGGAATATTTGAAACATAACTTCAGTTCATTGAGTTTGGAGCAAAAAATTGAAATAAAAAATGCGGGAAGACCTACACCAGAAATTAACTTAACTCAGACCACAAAGGGTAAATCTAGAGACTTTATTAAAAAGTTTAAAATGGAAATATATGAAAAGAATAACTGGATTTGTGGATGCAGCACAACAAACGGTTTGTTTTGTTTTTCCTGTTTGTTGTTTGCTCACGGGGTTGCAGAGCCTGCCTGGACAAAAAATGGAATAGCCGACTTGGGACATTTAGCACAAAAAATTAAGAAACATGAAAACACTCAAGTCCATATCAATGCGCAACTGGAAATGCAGCTTTTGGGAAAAGTAGATATACGGTAGCAGTTGGACAGTGCATATAGGCGCAGTATTCAACAGCAAAATGAACAAGTTAGAAAGAATAGTAAAATTATTGATTGCATAAAATTTTGCGGAGCTTTTGAATTAGCCCTCCGCGGTCACGACGAAAAAGATGGTTCATCAAATCCTGGTATTTTTAGAGGTTTAATAAATTTCACTGCCGAATTAGATATAGCACTTAAAGATCATTTTGAAAAATCGACAGTATTCAAAGGGGTATCAAAAATCATTCAAAACGAATTGTTAGATTGCATGTTACAAGTGGCTCAGGAAAATATAAGAAAAGAAATTTTGGAAGCTGAATTTGTTGCTGTTATGGCTGACGAAACAACGGATGTAGCTAATTGTTATCAAATGACTACAGTATTTAGGTATATTCTACCAGATGGAAGGCCAGTTGAACGTTTTTGGAATTTTGTTACCCCCCCTGACCACGATGCAGTTAATCTCTCGGAATGTGTGAAAACTAATTTAATACAAGTGCTAGATAAACCAGAGAAACTGATAGCTCAAAGTTATGACGGCGCTAGTGTAATGAGTGGACGTCGTGGAGGTGTTCAAGCTCTTATTCAACGTGATTATATTTATGCTTATTTCGTTCATTGTTATGCCCACCAGCTAAATTTGATTTTATTGCAAGCTACAAGCCAAAATCAAGAAGTACGGGTATTTTTTTCAAATTTAAGCGATATTTCAAGTTTTTTTTCTCATTCTCCACAACGAGTTGCAGTTTTGGATGACATTTTTGGTGCAAGAGTTCCTAGGTCTTCTGTTACAAGATGGAATTTTAAAAGCAGATCTATAAATACAATATATGAATATCGCGAATTGTTAATAGAATGCATGGAAAAAATAGAAGCTACTTCAAAACAAACTGTTACCATCAATCAAGCCACTGGTATTGGCCGTATGCTACAAGATTCTAAGTTTTTGTTCTGGCTAACTGTATTTCATCGAATATTGCTACATGCTGATATTTTATATAATCAGTTACAAAAAACAGTGACTGATCTAGTGCAAATTCAGACTGCCATAAAGTGTTTTGAAAACTGCATCCAAAAAGAGAGAGACTGCTTGGAAATAATTGAAACTGAAATTTCTGAAGATACCACTACTACTCAAACTAAAAAGCGTCGTGCAAATGATGACCAGCATATTTGAAGAGCTGCTGCAGCCAAGGAAGTTTGTGATACCATAATTACACATGTAACAGATAGATTTTCTTTTACAAAACATTTAAATGCAGCTATTCTTCTTTCTTCTGATAAATTTCCACAATTTGAAAAGCATTTTCCATTGCAATATTTGGAAACTGTAGTAGAAGCATATTCGTTTTTAGATAAAGTTCGTCTCCAGACTGAATTGGAATTAATTTACCGGCGACCTGATTTCAGGAATATGACTGGTGCCATTAGTTTGTTACAGTTTTTTATAGAAAATAATCTTCAGAGCATATTTTCTGCCACCTTTACACTTTTACAAATAATTGTTACCATACCAATGACTACGGCCGAAAGTGAAAGATGCTTTTCGACATTGAAGAGAATAAAAACATTTTTGCGAAGTTCTATGAATGAAGAAAGACTGTCAGCGCTAGCAATGCTATCTATCGAGAAAAAATGTATAGCGGGTATTCCAAACTTTAACGAGTTAGTTATTGATAAATTTTCTGCAAATAAAATCAGGAGAATGGACTTTACGTTTAAACACTGTACTCATTAAAAAAATTGTATTTTTTATAAATGTATTTTCTTGTGTATAAAAAAAAATAACAAAAAATGTGTCCTTGATGCTTGTTTTAGTACTCTTATTGCCTTCTACGTCACGCATTACATAAAAATTTTGGCGATGGCAAAAAAAAAATATTTTATACCACTTGTGAACCCCCTGTATCATAGACCACGAGCCGCCGCTGTATACAGCACAAATGTTTTCAAATTTAGCATACTGAATAATATCATTATTGTCAAAATTAGGATATACAAAAGTTTTGTCTAGGTTTTTTAAATTAATCCAATTATTTCTGATACTCTTGAAAATATGCACAACATCATAAGTTAAATATATGTTCTTATCAGGATTATGTGGATTTGGAATAGAATAATTTTCTGATGAATCCTTTGCTAATTTCCTGAACATTGCTCTATTAATTTGGTGATTATCAGTAACAACACAAATAACTTCAAATCCACATTTTTGAACTAAATTTATCACATGTTCAACCAAAGGTGTCATTTCATCACCTGTTAGATTTGAAACTGGTAGTAATTTGATAATTTCTGTTATGTTTCCAAATGCTGAAGATAGCATGAAGGCTAAAACAGTTTTAGCTATGTCATTTTTATTTGAAATTTGAAAAATACAACCAGAATTTGCACGTTTTCAATAGTTGAAATCCTTAGCGTCCTGAGGCGCGAACAGCCACAGTCACACTTCTTAGTTTATTTTTAAAGCACAGAAGCACTACTGGAGTCTATTTCTCATATATTATAGTCACCGATCACTTTGAACACATACACACACTTTGAAGCTTAGAAAACAAGCTTATCTCTTAATTACAGCCTCTGCGATTCCAAAATCATAAATTGAAAAGGTTATGTTTTCTCAGCGTTTTGAGCGGCGGGAGTAAGAGCCGTTTTACACACAAGAGAATTACTCCGAAAATTATGGTCATAATTATGCCGAAAATTTGCATGGAAAAAATATTGAAGATTGTCTCTACAACCTGTATGACACCAGCAAACAAAATTTCCGAGTAATTCATATGATACGCCTGCGCATTAGAGTAATATTTTGGAATGGACATAACCTTAACGGGTGTGACATCCAATATAATCGGAAAGACAACAGACGTCGTTGATTTATATTTATGAAATCGAGATCTTGGTTAATATTATAAAAAATGAATTTGAGTCAATCTGATTTACTCTTAACTGCTGCAGTGACTTGTTGTGTCTTAATATACCAGTTAACCAAAAACAAATTAGGTAGTAGAAAAAGATCTCAGTGGACAAAAAAGTGGCTGCAGAGAAAAAAGGGTAGAGGTACTTTAGCTCTTTTAAACAGGGAGCTACGAGTAGAGGATACGAATGCTTATAGAAATTTTCTTCGCCTTGATGATACTCAATTTGATTACCTGTTAGCATTGGTCGAACCTCATATAAAAAAGGAAGACACTTTCATGAGAGAAAGCATAAGTGCCCAACACAGAACACAGGTAGTAAGATAGCAATAATTATTTGTTTTTGTTTATTATACAACACATTCATAAAGCCTGTATAGTTTTGATTTGGCATCATATAAATTTGGACAATTGAATTTACTTTTGACCTATGTATATATAGCTAATGGGACTTATTGTTTTTAGGCTTGATGTCACATTGCGTTTCTTGGCTACTGGTGAAACATATAGAAGTCTCATGTACAGCACAAGAATTCATGAGAGCACAATTTCTAAAATTGTTCCAGAAACATGCTTAGCATTATGTAGATGTTTGAAAGATGTTTATTTGAAGGTATTTCAATTCACTATGATTTCTATAACTAGATCATTTAACTGTTACTTAAATCGTAGAATCCAACTACAGATGATTGGTTGAAAGTTGCTGCAGATTTCCAAAGCAAGTGGAATTTTCCAAATTGTCTTGGAGCATTAGATGGCCGTCACATAGCTTTTAGCCCACCTACATCTGCTGGATCATATTACCACAATTACAAAGGCACAGACAGTATGGTTTTACTAGCTTTAGTAGATGCCAATTACAAATTTATCTATGTGAATATTGGTGTTAATGGCCGAATTAGTGATGGGGGGGTCTTCAGTGCTTGTGGACTTTATAAAAGAATGCAAAACAAGACACTTAATCTGCCACCAGACAGAGCTCTTCCTGGTAGGACAAATAAAGTGCCTTATGTTTTTATAGCTGATGAAGCATTCCCATTATCTAATCATTTGATGAAACCCTTCCCACAACGTTCATTGACATATGATAATAGAATTTACAATTACCGTCTGTCAAGAGCTAGACGAATGGTGGAGTGTGGCTTTGGAATACTAGCAAACAGATGGAGAGTTCTATTACAAAAAATACACTTGGGACCAGAAAAAGTTGAACTCATAACATTAACCTGTGTACTTTTACATAACTTTTTAGTTAAAGAGAATGCTATGTACACTACTGAAGGCACGTATGACATTGATCCATCCCAACTGTTACCTCAAATTTCACAGCAGATTGGGAATCGATCAGGAAATTCTGCGAGATCAATCAGAGAAGAATTTAGGGATTATTTCAATTCAACATCTGGATCTGTGCCATGGCAAGACACAGCTTTACAAAGGAACATTTCATGAAATATTGAGTCAAATAATTATTTCTATTATTGTACCGTATTGTATACAGAAATAAAATAATGAAGTATCCATTTAATGCTCTTTAATTGAAAAACATCATTTCCTGCACCTTCGCAGGGCAGTATTTAATACATTTACAATTTCAGCTTCAACCTCATCTCTTATCTCACTGTCCGTTATTCGGTCAAGCTTTTAGGCAACATATTCCCCAAAGATCTGGTTAGAGGATTTCTCCCTGGTTTGTCCCAGTCTTTGGGAAATATGTTGCAAGGTACTTTTGACCTCCCCCATAACATCTGTATCCTCTTCTTTCCTTTTCCTTTTTTTGGGGGCACTTGTCATGCTCACCCTTGAAGAGCTTCTAGAGTGGCTTGGCGTGCTGATATGCTCCAAAGCCCCTGATGGTGATACTGCCGCCGAGAGCACCTCCTCTGCTAAGGCATCCTCATCATCTGCTTGTTCAATCTGAAATGAACAGGTAGTAATATAGAATAAAGTTTTCTAGTTTTGGCAAAATAGGTATAAATATATATTTACATTAAATTAATGCTTGATTAGATTTGGATATGAAAAATCATGAAACAGTAAAAAGAATGAAGGTAATGACCAGTTTCATGACAATGTAACACCAGCTTGTACTTGGCATGTTATTTGTTACATAAATAATATGGAGTACATGGTCATAGGTCCATTCTGTTATCATAAATGCAAAAGTATTGATGACTGTTCAGCAAAGCTCAAGTGTACTTTTAGGTTTAGACAAAATCACTGTTGAATTCAGATTTAAGTGAAATTTGGGCTTTGGCCATAGTGAAATATGCAACACAACATCGGCACTTACCAATGTTATATCTTGTTCTTGAACATCTTCGCTTTCCAAAGAATCAAATGCTCCTCTTTCTTCACTATTGTCAAACACATAGCCAATCAAATTATGATACCACAGTGATGGCTCCGTGATCTGTGAAAAATATTACTTTTAACACTCAATCAGATACATAATGGAAGTGAAATATGCAAACATATAGAAAAAACTTACATCATCTGAACCAGCGCCACTTCTTTGCGATTCCAAACATTTTCGCCTCTCCTTGCTGGCATTTTGTTTCAAAGCTTGAAACTTTGCTTGTACATCCTGTGCTGTCACGTTAGGTTTCAAACTTCTCAATGCTTGGACTACCGCATCCAGCGCCTGACGCCGCAAATTTCTATTTTTGTAATTGGCTGACTTCACCTTGTACAGGTTTGGCCATTTTTGGTACTCCTCCAACAACAGTGTAACTTCTTCCCGATTCCACGACATTATGAATAAACAATAAACATAAACGCTTCTTCGTACGACTCGAACAGGACCACTCCAACAAATGTTAAGTGAGGTTATGTTGTTGTTGTTGTCGTTGACATTTGATATTGACATGCACGGAAACAACCCTCTGCGCCGATTCTCGCGCATATAATATAGAACGGGTTTTATATTTTTACCATGAAAATTTTCACAAGAATTCTTTTACGTGTAATACGACAGCAAAAATTTTCGGCATAATTATGACCATAATTTTCGGAGTAATTCTCTTGTGTGTAAAACGGCTCTAACACTACCACCTACGTTGCCAGATTTCTTTGTTCACGGCTCGTAGTTGACGTCGGCTGTGATGCAAGATGAAATAATTAAAAAACCAGCAGCAAATATTTGAAAATGATGTACCTGGTGGCATTCAACTTTTTCATTTTCCTTGAATGACCGTCAGATGTTTCAAGAGGTCTTTTCAAAGAATTTTTATGTTTAATATACTAGAAGATTGTCAGTTTGATGCATTTGTTAATGATATTTTTGAGGTCATCATGAAAATTGCAAGTCTGATAATTTTCAAGCAGTGGTGTCAGACCTGTCTAGAAGGTGGCTTGATCATTAGGCAAATGGGAAAACTTATCAAAAAAACTATACAGTTTTACATGGATAACATCTAGTAGATGACTTAGTTTGTCATTTGTGTATGTCAGCCTCTGCTTGTCCTGTTCCTTGAAATGAACATACAACTGTAATGGGGCCAACTCATCAGAGAACAGTGCTTCCCGACATGTAGGGCATTGGGGATGTTAACATCACTTTGTGTTGCGGTGAATTTGATACATTTTCGATTCGCTTTCTGTTAATTGACTTTTACCTACTTCTAATTGTGTAAGGCATGAACTCGAAGTGTCTGACAGAGATGTATATTTATCTTGATAATGAATCTGTACCACAAAATCTGGCTTAGAATAGCAGTGATTGTGTTCAATTGTACTTACATCTGTCAAGTCTTTGGTACTTCTTTTGGCAGGCAATTTACATGGCTTGCTGCCGAAGTTGAAGAAGAATCACAAATGCTTGCTGAGAAACCAACAGAGCATTCCTTCAATGAAATTGCAATATCAGAATGACTAATGAGTTGACTCAAAATTTGACCATCAACATCTTTTGGAACTGCAAGACAGTTCAAACGTGAATAGGGATCCTGAAGGGAAACATTATCAGACAGTACGAACTGATCTTCGCAAACATATTTATCAGATTTTGTACTGGAAGCTAATCCACAGGCATTGTATCATAATTGCCTTTGACTGAGATTTTTTGGGAATCGATGAAATTTCTTGGATGGGGGATATGAATGACTTACATTCAATCTGTATATATTTTGGCAATAAGGATATAGGCACTGTCGTGTCTATTTTTTGCTTGTTCTTGCCATAGTAGTATCAAAAAGATTTAAGTGAAACATAATAAATGCCCTGAGCAACTTCACAATATTATCAGAATCAATGTCGTGTAGGTACTCACCTATATTTTTTTAACCCACTCCAATCTTGAAACATGGGTGATAGAAACTGGAACTGAAAATATTGAACATCGTTTCTTGAAACACACAATTTATAAAAAAATAATGTAGGCACAGAGGAATCGAGTGGAGTGAGAAAATTTTACTCAGGTTTTTTTCCAAGGTGGACATAAACGCATGCTTAATTAAGGGTTTGATGACATACTCTAAATTCCAATAAATATCAAAAGTAAAACTGCTCTATTTCATTATCAAATCATATTATCTATATTAATTATTATTAATTATTAATCAAATTCAAGCGGATAACCAAATGGAAATGGTATTTACCATTTTGGGTTGGTATTTACCAATCCGTTCAAGCGAGTGTAGTTATCAGTTTCGTTATAAGATCCGTGACGTCACGAATCAGCTGTTATATGTCATAGTTATCACCGCAAAATTGTGGTATTTACCCGACTCAAGAGTAGTTTTATATTTCTGGTTATTATTTGAAATGTGACAAGTTAGAATTTTGCCGGGTATTGGATATTGTTATTGTACTTCAGCTTCATTTTTGAGAAAAATGATACAGGCTGACTTCAGTTTTACCATAAAGTGGAGCACCTTATTAGTTATACTCATTACGGTTGTTGGGGACACTTTAAATGTAGTTCCAATGCTTAACAAAGTATCCTGTGTAGCCATATACCACAAGAATATTAAAATATGGCCATATAAACTCACTAGATGATATCCACCTGTATACGGTTTTGCTAATTTCTTTTTTCATAATTTTTGCTGAATCAATAAATGTTTTCTTTACAAAGCCATGGTTCAATCATTAAAAAAAAAAATCTGAAAAAACATTTCTCCCATGAATATTATGAAAGGTTTCTTATTTAAACTTTCCATATACAGTTGTAGACGAAAAAGCACCGATTATTAAGTGATAATAAAAATAATCAGAGATTATATACGCGCTTTTCTGAAATAAACAACTTGCAACAAAACTGCGGTTAAAACCAACGCGTTCAAGCGATTCGTGTAACTGACGTCATCAACCCGTGTGTCATCTTGAACCATATTATAACCGCGGCACATAACACAGAAATTTTGGTTATTCGCTTGGATTTGATTATTGTGATGTTGAAGAAAGACGTATGAAAGACAAGTGACAGTATTAATATTGACGGTGTTACCGGCTGCTTTTTCACCACGAAAAACGTTGCCAGATTTCCTGTGTTGCGCCTTGTCAAGCTTCAGTTGACCCCACGTGATGAAAACCATAAATGATAACATCTGGACCATAAATGACAATCTGACAACCATAGCGCAGTCTCACCAATGTCATAAGTCAGCCGTGTTGTCTAACATGGAATTCAACCTTATTAATATATGTATTTGTTTTGTGGTGTGTATATTATACTGTGTAACTTATTCCTAACAATCCTAACCTGAAATTAGGAAATTCGAAGAATCGTTTTCAAAATGGTTTTTGCGGCCAAAGTGTTTTTCAATGCACACAACCGATACGTACAATCGTATTAATAGATTTTTATCAGACAGGAAATGTATATAACTTTTCCTGATTTCAATGAAATTGACCATAGACTACTATTAGAAGATATATGTGAGTGGTCTCACAACTTATTCCTGCGTTTTTTCCAGTACCTTGTAGACACTGCAGGGCATTTAGGAATCGCGTGTATATTATACGTCCTGTTAAACATCCTCTTATATATATTAATAATAAGATGGGGTGTAGTATCATTCAATCGAAATGCAAGGAACTTCAAGAGAGTTTTATTTGTAATAGCTCACCCTGATGATGAGTGTATGTTTTTTGGACCTACAATTTTAAACTATACAAGAAAGGAGAATTGCACAGTATATTTAATGTGTCTATCAACAGGTTTGTGCCAATTTTTTGTTATTTATATTTGGTGTCTAGACATGTGAATTCATCAAAGTGATGTATAGGTTTTATAACTCTATTTATATTGTGTGGCCAAAGCAAAACCACAAACAAATATGTGATTCTGATTGGACCAGACAATCGAGCCCTCTAAACATAAGAACTACAAGTAGTCTAATCATATTAGATGAAAATACTGCTGGTTTGTGAAATAATTGTAAAGTCTAGTCTCATTGATGCAAGTTGGTCAAGTGGGTATTTAAAAATGGGTGCACCAATTTTTCTGGGAACACTTATTAAGTATATGAGAAAACATTTACATTGAAGAATACAAAATATGTACATGGTCACATAGCATGCAGTATACAAACTAATCAACTCTCATTTTAGATTAAAAAATCACAAGATATATAAATATACCTACAATAGTAGACACATAAGATTTAAGAAACTAAACAAATATAAATACATTTAGAAATGTAAGCAGTACAATATAATATGTACTTGATCACAGAAGATATATAATAATACAATTTATAAAATTACAATTAAAAGAATTAATAAGAATAAAATGGAACTAAGTAAATTGTATTATCATAGTAGTACCCCTCGACTGAGTATTAAACTGTTTGACAGTTCTTTCAAACTCATAAGGATTTGATTGTCTTATGCAATTTGGTAGTTTATTAAATACCCTTATTCCCATATTCTTGGGGCTGCTTTCAGTTATTGATAGCCTATGTGTCGGAATTTGTAAGATTGAGGAATTCTGTGTATTGTAGCAGCTGTGTGCATTGAGTACATCAAAGCTACTGTAGTTATTCTTAACATATAGTAAAAGTTGGAATATGTAGAGGCAAGGCAGGGTGAGTATCTTTAATTTAATGAAAATGTCTCTACAAGGTGTTCTATTGATTGCACAAACTGTCAACCTCATAGCTGTTTTCTGGATTACAAATATCCTGTTTATATAACTGGATGCACCCCAGATTATTATTCCGTAAGAAATGATGCTCTGAAAGTAAGAGTAGTAATACACAATGATCACAGATCTATCCTCAACAGATTTCAGCTGGTTTATACAATAAACAAGAGGTTGTAGTTTCTTTTATATATTGTTTATATGCAGTTCCCATTTGCAGTTATTTGTTAAATGTATGCCAAGGACTTTTACACCATTCTCTTGTTTGATGGACCCCTCCCTCGATTTTATCAGAAGGCTGTTGAAATAGCCTGTCAAACAGGAAAAGCGCAAAAACTGTGAATTATCTATGTTCAATATGAGACCATTAACCCTGAACCAGTCATATACCCTTTCAAACTAATCACTGGCAGATCTTGATAGACCAGAGACAGTGGGAGATTTGATGAGGATGGATGTGTCATCAGCATACATAAGTGCAAGTGCATTTGAAATCATTCACAAAAATGATATACAACAGTGGGCCCAATATTAATCCTTGTGGTACACCAATTGTATAGCTGAGTAGATTGAACTGACTATTCATTTAGTTGAATATAGTGCTGTCTATTGGCCAAGTAGCTTTTGAACCCATGGAGTGGCAGTCCTCTGATACCATAATATTCAAGCTTTTGCAACAATAACTCGTGATCTACTAGGTCAAAAGCTTTACTCAAGTTATGAATATCGCAAGAGACTTGCTTCCTTCATCAATGCAATTGTATATCCTACTGACCACATGTTTTTCAATTACTTTTGTGAACAGGTTCAAGGGACATATAGGCCTATAATTTTTTATGTTAGTTAGGTCTCTTGATTTTAAAACAGGTATCATCTTAGAAATCTTCAGGGCATCTGGAAATTCACTTGATTGTGTTGACAGATTCACTAAGTATGAGAATGGCTCTATAATGGATTTACTACATTTTTTCAGCATGTTAGTACCAAAACCATCAGTCCCTAAGCAGTTAAAATTTTCAGATGTGTTATTATGTGGACATCATTCTCCATACCTGGACGTAGGAAAAAGCTTCTGGAACTGTTTACATAGAAAGGAACTGAACTAGGCTTCAAGTTACCTCGAAGTTGTTTTGGGCCATTCACAAAATGTTCATTAAACTTGTTTGCCAGTATACAGTCATCTTTGAGAGAGCGAGACTAATTGTTTGCATTCATAATTATGTCTCCATTTCATATTTTTTTTGCTGTCATTAAAAGTTTTCTGTATATCCTCTTGTAGATATCATAATACTTTTTGGTTTCATTGTTAACAATAAAGTAATACAGATCATTTAGTCTTTGTCCAGATACTAGCAACCCTTTGGTTAACCATGGTTTTGTTTTTAATCTGTTTTTAACTGGGAAGGATATCTCAAAGTAGTAATTTAATATACCGTTAAATATACTATATTTTTCATTATGTCACCATCAGTATTATACAAGGATACCCAGTTTTCTTCTTTGAGGAACTGATTAAATTGTGTAATATTATTGATATTATCTAGCTGCCTATATTCCGATAATACTTTATTGTTTTGTGCATTTTTGATGTTAAGATTTACAATAAAAATTTGAGATAGATGATGACTAATATTTCCATTAATAACAGAGCTTTGATATAACTCTTTGTCAAAGTTCACACAGATATGGTCTATGCAACACATTCCTCGTCGGCTGATCTATTGTTGTTTGAATTCCCCAAGAGTACAGTAAATCTAACAATGTGTCCAACTCATAACTGGGTTTTAAAAAGTTTACATTAAAATCTCTAGACAAAATCAACATATAATCTCTAAACCTCTCACCAATATCGGTCAATGTTGTACTCAGTTGTTCTGTAAATAGATTAAAATCGGCATTGGAGCTCCTATATATACACATAGTATAATCATTTTAAAATCCTTAAAACAGCTTATCACAGATTCATATTCTTTTTCAACAGAATGACTAGAGATATTATGGAAATGAATACCTTTTTTAACATAAATTCCTACACCTCCATGCTGATAATGAGTCCTACAATAAAAATTTGCCAATGTATAATTATTCAATTGCAAGGAATTTTGCTGAGCCTTCTGTTCAGATACACAAAAAATATATAGTTGTAATCACTCAAAATCTCTCTCACTCTAAATCTAATAGTTTATTTGAAATGCACTGAACATTCGGTGCATTACAATAATCTTGTTACTATTTTTGCATCTAGATAATTGTTCCTTGGCTACAAAAAAACTTTATATTCTTGGGAAGTTGTATGGTTTCGGTGCTGGTATTGTTTATTAATATACTTCTATCTATTGAAGATGATATATTAACTGTTTTTAATACAGTTCTCGAAGGATGAGATATTTTATTGTCAACATATCTTTTGATAATATTTAACAGCTATTTACGATTCTTTGATACCACTAATTAGAATTCAATTGCGGTATTTTTATTCATGTTACAGTAGGTTCTGATTTGCTGTTGAATGAAGCTTCCTATTATTTCATCCCCTTTTAATTCTAGTTTCACTAATAATAATAAGTTTGTCAATTTACTAAAGGGAAGTACATGCTTTTTTAATGATGTGTAGTTTGATATATTGCTTGTTTTGAAATGTCTACAATTTTTCCTTCCAAATCATTAATGTGTTTTGCTTTGTCATCGAGTTTTTGTTCCAGCTTATTGATGACAGATTTGTTATTTTCCATTTCAGAAGTGTAGCTCATTTCCATATTTATCACATCGTCTTCGAAAGCAACGTTTTTTTTAAGGGATTTGATCATTTGTTTCTATCTGCCATCTCTTGCTGGGTCTCCTTTTGCATTCTTCTAAGTACCTCTTGTCAATAACTTTTGTGGAAGATGTTGTTGCACACAATGCAAACACAACTTGCCCTTGCATCACTTGTAAACACCATGTACAATATTTTTAGTATGCTTCACTGGGCTATTTTTATTGTTTGTGTATTGTATGTTTATTCTTCTTAAACAAAACACAAATCCGTTGAGAGAGGAAAAAACAATTAGTATAATACTTATAGGTACTATTAATATTAGACCAAATTTAATTTATTCACTCTGTATTCTCTCCTCAACAATAAGATTATAAATAAACCCTAGTGATTTAAACACGTCTTGACTGTAGAATACGACTGTACGACTACTACTCGAAGGACATTTTATTGCAAAATACTACATGAGGTTTCATGCAGATATGAATCACAAAAGAAAGAAAATTTTTTTCACAACATCCTCATACTCTTCTGTATATACATATGAATGTAACCTTCATACTTATGCAATAATATTTTTGAACAGTTTACCTCTCCCATAAGTGTAAACATATCCATTAGCCAGTTTCTGACAAATATGTGATATTATTATTCTTCTTATAGGTAAGAGCTATGGGATGGGCTCAGTTAGAAAGAATGAATTATACAAGTCTTGTCAGGTATTAGGGATACCTCAAAACCACATTATGGTTCATAACCACACACTACTTCCTGACGCAATGGATGTCAGATGGCCTATAGATGTAGTTGCTGAGTTGATATCAAAAAATATTGATTCTCTTGGTATAACAGCACTAATCACATTTGACAGATATGGGGTATCAAATCATTACAATCACTGCAGCATTTATTATGGCATAGCAAGTTTGATTTTTAATGAAAAAATACCCAAAGGTAAGTTATATTAAGACTATTCCCTCATAATTGCTTTGATCATTTCAGTTTATATTATTTTGACAGGATTCGACATGAAGTGTACACTTTCGATTGTTCAAATATTCTGCTGACCATGTCAAAATCCAGCCAAGCGTTCTTTGAACTTAATAGGTCTCCTAATTTGTGTTTAATTACAATAATTTGTTGGTCATAAATAAAAAGAAGACTATTCATGGATAATTAAATATAATATTGAAAATTATACAGTGTCCTAATTTTGACCCACATGTCAAAGTTGATTTCTTTTAAATGAAGTGAACTACTTCTTATTACATGTTTGGATAAGCCCTTTTTAAAGAACAAGATTGATATAACATACAGGTTTTGGTTATTAGTTGTTGAATTAATGGGTGTTTTATATAAAAAACATCAAACTTTGACAGCCTGCATATTTGCTATGTTGCCATGTGGAGTCGTGAATTTTGCAACAAAAACTATTTATTTTACTCAATTTTAGCCTAGTTTATCCATTTTTGATTTTCTTGAATGATCAATACAGGGTGGCCAAAAACACAAAATGTAATTTTTTTCAAAAAAATTAAATGGAACACCTTGTATATTTTGTATTATCGTCTGTCCAAACCATTATATAAAATAATAGAATTTTGACTGCATTGATCGAACTTTTAAAGTAGCAAGCCTAGCAATGATGACAATGGGACTTTTGAAGGACGTTCAATTTAGGAACTGGACAAACTGATCCAAATTGGACCTGTTTCGGACGTTCCAGGAACCAAGTGTTGGTGTAGCTGTCTCTTTTTTCCGCGTTGCAGTATCCTTGGTAATAGTGTAAAAAATACCAACTTTACTTTTTCATTTACAGGATGTGGGATTTATGTGTTAGAATCAATAAATGTGTTTAGAAAATATTGGTCAGTGCTGGATATACCAATATCTTTGATTTTATCTAGATTTAGGTGAGTGAAATAATCTCTTTTGAAAGTGTTTACAAAAAGCGTTTAACGGTTAACCATCTCCAATGTTACTGAAACTTTAAAGTTGAGACATTCCTTTGCAGAGTTCATAGCTCTTGCAACAATAAGCAAATTTTGCTAGTAACACATACACCAAATAGAAATATTAAGATTCGAAACAACATGAATTGGCAAGCCCAATCCTACGTGAAAAGCTACAGTATTTTGTGGTATGATGTGTGAGTAAATCAGGTGCCGCGTGGTGAGTTAACCTTGTTTATTTACAAATCGGATTTGAAAAACCGAAATTGTTACATTCCTACAGGAATAGCGTAGTTATCGATTTAATGTTAGCTTACCATGAACTTCTCCAAGATGCTATTGATACTTAGCGAGTATATTCAGATCATTTTCCTTGATGTTTTCATCTGGAGTTGTGTAGGTTTAATGTAACGTCTGAAGATTATCCTGTGGTTTTCATGTCGATATTCCCCCATGCTTGTCTGGTTGAATCATAACCAGATATTTTGAATCTTCTCTTTACTGAACGACGTTTCGGCCCCAACGGTGACCTACTTAAAGTTCAATTGACACTATACAGGGTGTTCGAAAAATTGACGGAGATATTTTAGAGGGTGATTCCTTTTAAAAAAAATATAAAATAAACTTTTTATAAACATGGGTCCGGAAATGCAGAGTTTTCAAGATACAGGGTGATAAATTAAAAAAAAAATAATTTTTCATTAATATTTTAAAAAATATTTACCCGATTCTGTTGAAGTTTGGCAATATTATGTGTTGTATTATGAGGCTAATTTATCCCTGAATAGATTAAATTTGTTAAGCTTAGTGGCGTCCCGGGGCACCTTAGCGAATATTATTGGCAAAAAATGTACGGCACTTCTTTTTTTGTAAACTTTAATATTTGTTTGTTTGATTAAGCATCTAAAAATACAACTTCTTTGCATACATTTTCACTTGACAAAAGTGGTTTATTAACTTTTTCTAAAAAATCATCTAGGTTGGACGGGTGAGTCAGAGTGTCGTGCTACTGATCAGCCGGCCGGCCGGGCCGTGAGTTCGAATCTCACCTTCGGAAATAACATTCCGTAGCTATGGAATTTTTTTTATATCGAAGCAGCCGCGCAGGCAGAAACCTAAATGCCGAACACTGCGGCTGTTATTATGATCCCAAAGAAATTTTGTTAATACGATTTTTGAACTGCCTAAGGCTATTAGAACTGGGAAAAGCTTCCTCTTGTAGATTGTTCCACAATCTCGACACCCTCGGGACGAAGGAGCGGTCGTATCGACCAGTTCTGGATGTACGAAGTTCGACACGGTTAGGATGGGACGCTAAAGTCAGGCGGGTCTGTCTGGCAGGCACATCGCGAGGCGGCATCATGGAAGAGGGCTCTGAGGAGCAAAGTCCGTTGGTGTAGCGGTAGAAAAGAGCCAGATCGCCGACGGCCCGCCGGTGCGAAAGAGTCCCGAGAGTGTCTGTTAGAGAAGAGTCATCGATCAGTCGGACCGCTCTCCTTTGGACAGCATCGAGCATGGATAATGTAGTCGGGGCGGCAGCACCCCAAACGTGTGAGAAATACTCTAGGCTAGGCCTTATCTGGGCCTTGTATAGAGTGAGAAGGTCATGCGGAGAAAAGTACTTCTTAGCCCTAAACAAATAGCCTAGCTTTTTCCCAGCAGCTGCAGCTATTGTCGAGATGTGTTCGTGCCAGATCAGGTCCTCGGTGATTTGGACCCCGACCAGCTGAAATGAATGGCACTTTGGCAGAACTCGGCCATCCATCGAAACCGGATGAGCGCTAGGACGCTTTTTGTTCGTCAAAGTACAGTACTGTGTTTTGGAAGCAATGAACTGTACAAGATTGTTGCGTCCTTAAGCAGTGATAGTCTCCAGGTCTCTTGTCAGGGAGGAGTAAGTCGTCGCTAGTCTTCTTTTTTCCATCTCAGCGGCAGAGATCGGCTTGTCACTCTGAATTTCTGCATGTAGAATGCTGTCCTCAGCGAAGCTGTGGATTGGGTTGATCGTGCAGGAAAAGAGGTCGTTGACATGTGATAGAAACGGTGTCGGACCCAAGACCGATCCCTGGGAAACACCCGCGTTGACGGATATCTTGCGGCCAGAGATGAAGTCAGCCACCCATCAGCAAAGCTATTCTGGGAGGCCATAGAATGTAAGTTTGCTTAAGAGGGCAGCGTGCCACAGCTGATCGAGCGCTTTCGTGATGTCTAGAACAACGACATGAGCCTCACCATAAGACTGGATGAGTTTACTCCACAATTGCGTGACGTAAGCTAGGAGGTCCCCTGTGGATCGTTGGTGCCGGAAACCATACTGCCTGTCGCTAATCAAGCTGTGACGTTCGAGGTAGTAAAGAAACTCGCGAATTATGCACCTGTTCATCACTTTACTTATAACAGAAAGCAGAGCTATTGGCCTGTAGTTGTAAGGGTCGGTCTCAAATCCTTTTTTTTGGGATGGGCTGGACATAATATATCTGGAAGAGACGCGAAAGAACCGGAGCAAGCTCCGCTGCACACCTCTTCAGTACAATGGCAGAAATCAAGTCCGG